GTAGGCAGGGTGGATTAGGGAGCACTTAATCCATTTTGGGATGATTGGTATGTCAGATTATAGGAGGGACAGTCTTCATTCGGGTGGAAACCAGCCTAGATGGCGCACGTCGTTTCCTCCCTTAGGTATGGTATACCTTTGTATGGTATATGTTTTAGGCAATTTCTGCACTGGGGTATTCTGTCTGTCACTCTAATATAGTCAATGTATCTTAGTACTTTCTGGACGTCTGTCATTTTATTTTGTTTGTGTCTACTTTGTAGAGGCCAATTGGTGTCAATGCTCCGTCGGTGTCTCGTCGTTGCATCTCAGTGATATGGTGTGAAGTAATTTTAAGGGCGGTCGTGTCTTTGATTGCAATCAACTCGGATTTGGCCGGGAGTCCTTTGATTACAAATTTGTCTCTTTGTTCGTCTATGGCTCGGTTGAAGTGGTACGAAATAGTGGTGAAGACACGTCCTTTTAGTCTGGGGTCTCTACACATCTGCTCCAGGAGGTCCCTTATCTTTTCGTGGGCAGTCACAGTCATTGGTTGAATTACCAATTATGTCCGAGTGCATTTGGCTGCCAGGAAGTTATTACAGTTCGTCTACAATTCCTTGATCAGTTCTGTTGGGTCAAGGATTGTCGTCAAAACAGTTCTGAAAAGTCCATTTTGTCCTTTGTTGGTTCGTTTTCGATTTTTCGTTTGTTGGGAGGATGATTGGTCAGATAATGGTTCGTTGTGTTTAGTTCTTCAGGGGTTCCGGAGTCTGATTGTGAGGGTCCAATTGGGAGAGAGGGTTGAATGGCTTAAGGGATTCAATCGGTTTGCTTTTGAGTAAAGGTTGGGGTTTGACTCCTTTTGTTACCATTCGGAAGCCGTCATCCGTCAGGAAAATTTTGGATGGTTGGTCGGGCGAGGAGTCGGGGGAGGAGTCAAGAGAGCGTCGGAGGTTGCGGTGCGCTTGTTTGGATACCTCATCGCTGGCGTTCGAGGTTCCCGCAGGTGGTGTATCTGCCATCTCTTCGTCTGACTTCTCCGTTTCTGAGGGTGGCTGGAGCTGCGCCTCCTCCAGAAGTAGCTTGTTCTGCTCTAAGACGCGGCGGTTGCTCTCCACAAGGATTCTTCGAAATAGACTCTTTGGGGTGTTAACAAGTGAGAGTCGCCTCCGGCCGATAGCTTACGCTGTGTCAGAGGAGTTATTTAAACTGAAGTAAATACTAAGATTGTTTGCAGTATGCTGGTTCAGTACGCGTGGCAATGACGGGATCGTGATCTTCACTGCACAGGCGCTGCTCGCTCAATACCTTTCTTAAGCCGTTATTTATAGTGTTCCCTGATGTGCAGATTTGTCTTGGCCCTCGTTGCTATTCTTCTTGCCTTAATACAGTTCCTTCGTAGTTCAGGTATTTCAGGTATCCACCAATACATTTGTTGATTCCTCCTCGGACAAATGTCTAGAAATGGATGCGTCTCACGCTGCTACCACTATTTCCTCCGTTGCTTTGATCATATTCTCAAGCGTTTCCGCCTCTTTCGTCCAAACCATGTTAAAACCATGGATTCTTCCAAGGAGCGTTTTGTCTTGTCTTCATTAAATTTTTTGTGAGATCCAAGGTGGTCTTTTATATCGCATTTTGACATGTTGTGGCCCCTCCGTTAATGGAGCCGAAGATCCTATGCACCGATGGTCACTCAGGGTTTCTTCGTCGAGTACGACCAATGAGCGATGCCTTTAGCTAGCTTAGTGGAGCTTATTGTCAAATCCAAAATAGATGATGTGGCTCCATGTTGAAAGGTATACTTGTCCCCAGTATTTAAAATGATCAGATCATTTCTTGCGATGAATTCGCATATGATAGTTCCTCTTCTATCGGAGCGCGTCTCTCCCCATTGGGACGACTTACCATTGAAATCGCCTGCCAACAATACCTCACTCTTCGACTTTTCAAGCTATCCTCCAGCTCATCGATATCTTTCTGATTTTTTTTTCTAGCGATTCATTCGGTGAATAATAGCAGCTATAAATTCTCATATTGCCCACTTCCAACCATACAAACCCGAATTTCATTCTCTTGTGTTTCGTGATACTCAGCTTCTTATTATGCATTATTATGCGGGCTCTTCCAATAGCATCCTGATGCTATTGAGCCGCCCGCAATTCTAATGTCAAGCATAGTGGGTCCCCCTTGTCCGTCTCCAAGGTCACAATTGTTATGTTTACATTATTATTATTATTATTATTATTATTATTATTATTATTACGTTGTCTGCATGTTCATGAGTGTGTCTATTTCATCTTCGCTTCACCCTATTCCCTAGGGCTTACAACCTTAAAGTGTAAATAGGAAACCAAAATTACATGCTGGTCTTCCCAACAGAAAAGTATTGTGCACATACCCCGATAATGACAGCCTCCGTGAGATGCATGTACAGTTCTGGGAAAGTAAATTAAACGCACAGCCTGCGGCTACGTTCAGCCTTTCCACGAGTTGGGTTGTTGAACGAAGCCGGATATGGCGCGGTTAATAGATTTTGCCAGAGCTGTACCGCGGCCTCCATTATGGACAAATAATAATAATAATAATAATAATAATAATAATAATAATAATAATAATAATGACAATGACAAATTGAACTAAAACAGATTCATGACGCTCGTACAGTATACACCATCTGTTGAGAAGCAAGAACATATAAAATGTTTGTGCAAAAGCATAATTGTAACTCAGAAAACCTATTTTCTTCCTTTACACTTCACGGATTAAGCAGCTGCCTGTTCCGTCTTTACAGTCTCCTTCCATCTTCTCTCGGTCTTCCCACGTCTCCTTCCTTTCGGCGCTAGAAGTAGAAAGCTGCCTTTGCAAGCAATATTCTTGCATTTATTGGTTTTACTTTTAATTATTTTCTTATGTTTTCGTTTCTAAACCTTTTCTCCGTTCAACACCCTTTACTGTAGCGCAAAAACCTCATTTCATTTGTCTGTGTTTTTTCCATCGTGTTCTTTGCAGGTCTTTATATACTCGTGTATATTATTATTCGAGCTTCTTATCTCATTTTCTTTTTTAGGGTCTTGGGAATGGTTCCATATATTGTTTGGAACATCGAAAGTTTATTTACTGTGCCTCTATCCGGTCACTGATGTTACACCCTAAGGGTGTAAATGAGGAGACTTGATTTCAAATTTTTTAATCAATGACTTTCTTGGACCTGATCGGTGTCCCTCAAAATGCCATTACTTTTGTTTTCTCTCCTGATATTTGCATCATATGTTTTGCATGGCTGATGGAGGTGAGTATATATGTGGCTAGGTGGGTTTCAGATATGTCTTATATTATTTCGCGACGATTGGCAAAGAAATAAGACTAAATATTTGTCAATTATTACAGAAAGATTCGTTGTATCTTTCCCTGCACAGCATTGTAATGAACATTAGTATTTTTATTTCCCGTTATGCAATAGTGTTCACCAGAACAATAATTGATTCAAGGTTATTTAAAAACCTTAGTTTAGCCTGGAGCGGATCCAGAGACACATTTTGGGAGTGAAAATTCAAAACGTTTTGGTGGAATGTGTCATTTTACAGATTTTGTAAAATGTTGCAGGTTACACTCAGCTCATGCTGTGAAACGATTTTATTCCTTTTAATGATTATCCGAAAATAATTTTCCTTGAACGTATTTTGTCGCCACACCTTAAGACAGAGATTGGCCAGATTTGGTGGTGACTCCGACGTATTTCCTCCCTCTTCTTTCCTCAACTCGTACGAATACGTGGAAATAAATATTTCTGTTTCTTCCTCCTTTTTTTAAAATTCTATTACGTCACCCATCTCGTGACGTAGGCACATGATGAAAACAATTTTATTATCTTGAAATTTTTCGCCCGAAATATTTTTCATGATTTATGACTCACCTGTTACAGGACAAATTCGAAACGCTTGTTATAAATCTTTGCCAATCTCGAAAATATTGTTCCCGAATACGGTTGTGTCTTTGCAAATGTTAAATACATTTCGAATTTTATTTCAAATTGTAAATGTTGAAGGACTGTAGTATTAGAATATCTCCTCCTATTCAAATCATGGCATGATTTGGCTCCAGAGCCGATAATTTGAGCTTTCTCTAACACGAATCCTTATCCACAGAACATACTAAGACATAAAGATATTTGTGATTTATCGAAATTTTGTTTGTTTGCTTTTTAGAATATGCCTTTTTGTGGGTTTACAAACCTGGCGTTATATTGATATCATGATATAAAGTCTTGAAAAATATTTATTTTGATATCTCTGCCAAAATCTATGCAGCGAAATGGGTGCTGTTCCTTTTTCGTCAAGTTTGTCTTCATTGCTGTTTAATTATATTATTAAATGTAAATTAATATTATGGTTAAATAGGGAAACTACTATTTGTCCTTGTTTGTTCATTTCGATATTGAAGCAGATAAGCATTTCTGTGTGAGAAGAGCGGTGCCTTTGACTATTATTTCATTTGAGTTCCTTTCACTTTAATTAATGTTTTATGTTGGCTGTACTTCATTGATGGTATGAAGTAGATACGAAGTGTGTCTACAATAACATGTCAAAGTAAAGCAAGAGGCGAAGGCACTGGGTTCAGGAATCTAAATACCCCTCAATAGATTGTCGTAAATACTAAATATGGTGGGATGGGACCTGGATATTAGGGAGACAGAAAAGCAAATTTCCGAGAGCTAGCGGGAATGTGATTAACCAGGCACGCATATCATGGATGAAGCTTCAGCAGATTCAGCTATAGAGCAGACATCATCAGCTATAGAGTTTCTAAAGAGGTCCTCAGATGGATCTCACAGTACCTCATATTCCTCCCCAAGTAATCAATTGGTCTTCTTGCTCTGATTTGACTAGTTATTTCAAAAGTACTCTGTATTACCTGAAAAAATATATGTACATAAGTATCCACGTATTTCAGTTAAGTAGTATATTATTTTATATACCCATAAAAAAAGATTTCATTATGAATATTTCTTTTTTCAGGTGTTCCAGGTAAGGGCACTAAAATGTACCTGAAATATCAACTAGGCAATGTACTTTAGGAAAGTAACTTTTAAAGCGTATTAACTCTAAGGAGATAAATAATTATTAGTCGGCAGATTAACTTAAAATCATTAATTTTATACTTAAATAGATTCACATCGCCATTCTCAATAACAAATTAATAGATAATTTTAAAAAACTGAATATAAAATCCCATCACAAATACTATATGACATTTTCTCGAGATATAGGATAACCGGATACAGATTTTTTCAATTACTTTCTAGTTTTTAATTAGTTCTATGTACATTAAGATTTCTATTAATGAAAATAATTAATTTATTTTTAAAAAATGTGAAGTTTCCCTTACAACAACTGTGAAATTCCATCTTCCCAACAGTCCAGACAAACTCGACGGACACCCTTCTATCCGGGGGAGGGGCGCGTTGACCTAGCGCTTGACGCGTCGCTAGTCATAAACTTAGTTCCTATGTGATTGCTGTGGTTGGCACAAAATACCAGGGGGCAGAAAATATGCTGTTATCCGGCAGCGCGATCTTCATTTGTACATATTAGCCGGAAATTTCGTCACATTTCCCTGTCGAAGGAGAGATTTTGCATGCGCGTACGCCACAATGAAAAAATATACCCCGGATCGAAGGGTGTCAGTTTGTCTGGAAGGATAACAAGATAGAATTTCACAGTTATTGGGGGGGAGCTTTACATCCGATATTTACAAACACTTCATTTATATTTTTGAGAAATTGCATTTTTTTGTTTATAACTGTAGTCGTGTGTATAATCAAGGAATATATCAAATGATAATATATACACACTTTGACACAACTGATAGAATCTAATATTTTATTGAAATATCAATGAATATAGAGTTACTGTTTAATATCTAATTTAATATCTGTCCTATATTACTTCTTAATATCTACAGTAAATTAATTTGTTTCTTGACAATGTTTTTACTTTTTCGCTACTAGAGAGAAAGTTATGTTATGCTGCGCGGAAAAACAGAATTTTTGGGAGAAAAACGCTTATTACAGGGCCCTAGTAACAAAAAAGTTGATACACACATGTACTCATAAATATAATGTGAACAAATTGTCACTATTCTAAATAATAATGGCATGAGAAACAAGTCAAAAATCTTCCACTTTTATAATTTTTGGAAAACAAAAGAGTAGAGCAACTTGGCGTTTATGTCATTTCATAGAGTACATTTAGCATTTTCCATACCAAAAGTTTAAAAAATTGAATCGTTTTTGAGAAAATGGTGTTTTTCTTATTTTTTAAAATTGCAGATATCACACGCAGAATTGCGCGAAAACTGCTAAAATGTTCAAAAAAATGTCCATGACCTTAACGAAATGAAAGAACTTAACGGAGAAAAATAACCTTAATGGAGAAAAAAAAATTGAAGGAAAAATTGCAATATTCAATTTTGTAGTTGTAGGTATACACAGCCAAATATTTAAAAATTTTGCAAGTTTCGAAAATTCAGAGTTAATCGTGAAAATCTGACTTATGCCACCTTTATAAGTGTACTTTATTATATTTTTACAAGAAATTTAAAGCAAACATTTGGAGCCGCTTTTGAGAAAATGTTGAAAATTCCTGGGGGGCTTCATGGAAAGGATCCCAAAAAATGAATTTGTATGAAAAGTGTTACAAAATTTGCGGCGTCTTGAGTGGAGCCTGATCGACTGGGGAGAATGAATTTTGTAAAAAAATCGAACGTTTGCTTTAGGCGCTAGTGGTGTTTACAGACGGACACCAATTTGGTCGCCAATTGATTTTTCGGTATCAAGAACCCACAAAACAGAGTTTCTGGCTACATGCGTTAGAGGATTTTCCCCTTAATTTAGAAACGGGATTTATCTGCGTTTTCGTGATCAGGACCCGGCAATTAATTTTTGTGTGATGAAAATCCGCCATTTTTTCCCGCAGCATCACATAAATTTTCCTATATTACGTATATTACTCCTCATATACTTATTTGTACGGGAAAGTTAAAAGTCCTCTATGACGCGGTGTAGCCAGAATCCATATCTATCCGCGGTGTAACCGAAAAATTGAATGATGGCAAAAATGTCTGTCCGTCTGTGAACAACGCTAGTGGCTACACCGTTCAGCGGATATTCTCCAAAAATTATATTCCGCAATCAATCTGGGTGATTATCGCAGCCCTTTATATTTGAAATCGATATTTTAAATTTGGAGAGTACTTTTCATTAAACTTCTCGGACATTTTGAAAATTTTCCAATAAATGGCTCCATCGTTTTATTAAATTTTGTTTTTGGATAGTGTGAAGAAGTACTAAGACAATGGTGCAGGTCACATTTTCGTTGAAAACTCTTACTTGTCTGTTTGCAACTAAAATGTTAAAGATAAAATTTATCTCTCAATAAAACCTATTCCTTAATGATAGACTTCGAATTAAGGTCAGGTATAACATTTCGAAAATTTGAGTACTTTTTCACTTAATTTTGCGTGAGAGTACGGGCGAGAAAGTACGCACTGTTTTAGCACCACTAGTTTCCTTTGGCACTGAATTTCTTTTTTGTATTACATATTAGTACTTTCCTTTTGATAATGTATTTCTTATCATAATATTCATATGCAGTGCATCACGTATCTTCCTTTATGCATATGAACGAAAGCATGAGGATTACTAGCTTGTGTATCTTTTTCATAATTGTTATGGAAATTTGAAGTGTGTGTTGAGCCTTATCAAAGATCCACGTAATAAAAAAGGAATAAAAATATTATTAATACTTTGCAATATAGAACATCAGAAAGGAAACAACATGCAGGTGACTGTTTCAGCAAGAGTGCGAGTATGATAGTGTAGAAGTGTATAGCAAGCTGGGAGATGACATCAAAAGGAAACATGGTATATTTTGTGGTTCTCGCCTACCTCCACTAATTACATCTGAAGGAAACAGCCTGAGATTGGAATTTGTATCAGATTCTTCCATTCAGAAATCTGGTTTCGCTGCCATATTCTTTACTGGTAAGTGAACTTACATATTTGTGTAAAATTTTAGAACAGGAAAACTCAGAATTTATCAACTTCCTAAACACAATTCATTCAATTAAAGTTTTATGGAATATAATCAAGTTTCTTTATATATTAAATGTGATTATCATTGTTTATAACAAAATAAATCAAAGAAATTAGTGTGTTTATTATTTGAGCATGTTTGAAACAATTCTCTACTTGAAAACTTATTTATTTTTACTTTTATGGAAAGAAAATTTGTAAAATAATAATGTCAATCAAAAAATTTATTTTTGGTGAAATTCCGTTATCAACCTGTAACTTAAGTGAATTTCCATTAAACTCTTGATTATATTTGCTTTTGCATTGCAGACATAGACGAATGTGCAATTAACAATGGTGGTTGTCAACATGAATGTCGAAATACCATTGGATCATATGCTTGTTCCTGTCATAATGGATTCATACTCCATGATAATGGTCATGACTGTAAAGAGGGCGGTTGTAAGTATGATATAACAGCACCTTCAGGGCCCATTTCAAGTCCTAACTATCCTGATTATTATCCTGGCAGAAAAGAATGTGTCTGGCATTTCACCACAACTCCAGGGCATCGAATAAAACTGGTAGGTAGTTGAAAACTGCTCTCTGAAAGTTCTTTCTGAATTTGCGTAATTGTTTTTAGAAAGATAGCTAGAACTGTTAAATAATTTCCTTTTGATAGTAATAGAAGTCACTTAAACTGAAATACATTAATTCTGAAGCTTTGAATTACAATGTTGATTTATTAAGTTGAAACACGAATATTAGCATGAAGCCAACACATTTTTGTTTTTGACATTTGCAGACATTCAATAGATTTGAGTTGGAACCTCATCAAGAATGTGCCTATGACCATATAGTCCTATACGACGGAGATTCGTCAGATGAGTACACACTTGGAAGATTTTGTGGCTCTAAAATGCCTTTCCCAATATTAGCTTCTGGTAATCAAATGCTGATGGTTTTCAAATCAGATGCATCAGTGCAACGCAAAGGATTCTTTGCAACACATAGTACAGGTATATTGATTGCAAATCAGTTCTGTTCTTTTCTGCAATACTTAATCTTTTCTGCAATATTTAATTATTAATACATCAACATATTTCAAACATTAGCATTTAATGGTTTATATTGAAAGGGGCTAGTTAGAATCTGAGCAATCTCCACTTTTTCAGAAGTTAAATTATTAGTACTAGGACAATCTTGCCATTGGAATTGACCAATTATTTATATATATATATATATATATATATATATATATATATATATATAT